CTGAGTTGTGATTCCGTTTGTGTCCATTAAAGAAACTTTTCACTGTAATTAACATATAATAATACTATAATGTACTAATAATATTATATAATTTTATATTAATTCATTTTTTAAAATTAATTAATTTAATTAATTTTAATTAATATATATAATATATATACTCATATTTTTATATAAATATTACAAATATTTATTTTTATAAATATACATATTTTCTAAAAATATAAAAACAAATATTATGAGGTTTCTTTAATATTCAGGTTATTTAATTAAGCGGAGTCATTTACATCATTTTAAATAATTAATAAATTTATATATAAATATATAATTTTTATGTTTTTTTTTATTTTTCTTGATCCAAGAAATCAATTCCCGAAGTTAAAGCATTTTAATTTGAAACTCTTTCAATATATATAAACATTAATAATTATATATATGTGTAATTAAAATATAATTGGGAAACCATTCAGAAGATCAATTAGCAATATCGTTTGTCGAGCATTGAGATGAAAATCCTAAGATTCTATGATCCCCGGCACACCAACCATGACATTGATAAGAAGAATGCCAAAACGAATTAAAATATGCAAATTATTTATGCAATAATCCAATTGCCTACTACAATAATAAAGTTCGATTTTATTTGATAACAGAAATCGTATGATGTACATCTAGAAGAACACATCTATGGACATACTATTCGGATTAGTAATTTTTGCTAAAGTGCATATATGCTTTTGAGTTTCTAACTTTTGTATCGATTAATAAAATTCACTTGTTTAATGTGACCTAAAAAAATTAATTAATAGTAGTTATACTTTTGGTATATCATGTGTGATCATATTCATTAATTAAAATTCAAGTTAAAACATAATTAAGCAATTTGTATTATAAATCATTTAATTATAATTAAAAGTACATATTAAGCCCAAATGAATGTATTTCTCATTGTATATTTTATAATCGTTAGCTCTGTTGTTGGCATATTAGGCAATGGTAGTTGCAGTGCTTAAAGTAACCTTCCATGCACTGTGGGTGTTTCTAAAGGTTTTAGCTAAACCAGCTGAGAAGTACAATTTTTTTTAAAAACATGTAATTGCATTTATCTTTAATCTTCAAAGTTTAGGCATAGATGTTTAGATGCATAGATGATTTTTGCAATAGCCACACCCTTCTAAAAATAAATACTAATTCTATTTATAAATTCGTCAAATATGAATTACTAATGCCAAATAATGCGGAATAAGAGATCAAAGTCCATTTCTTGAATGCTAAAATAGTTGAAAAATCAACAAAAATATGTTAAGTAAAGACGAAGAATTCCCACTAAAAGTTATAAGGTTAGAATGAGTTAAAAGATATAAATAAGACAAAATATTTGATTTAACAAATATGTGAAGTGATACACATCAACAGTCTGCACTACAAATCGACTTCAAATTAATTAACAACTGACACGGATTCATTTTTGTTAAGTATAGTAATTCTATTGTAATTAAGTATTTGGTATATGCATTAGTTTATGTGGTTTTAGATAAACCATGAGGAGAACGGTTTTTTATCTTAAAAGATTATGCAAAGTACCTTGACCATAACTTTTTCAATAACACAGCCTAAGCACGGCTAACGAAATAAAAATGTTTGAAAAGTTAAAAATCAATTAAAACCACAGAAAAACATAAGTGAGAATATCTAAGCGAATATCGATGGCTTAGTGAAGTGGCTTACGTTAGAGCGCTGCTTTCGAAGTTTAGTGCACCTATCGGACAAGTCATGAACTTTTGCTTCATCATTGTTCGGCATTGAACTCCACCTTCAAACTGTTAAAGTCAAAAAATAGTTTAATTGATCAAGACTACAAAAATGCCAAAAAATATTGCCAAAAAGTTCATAAGAATTAAACAAATTATAAAAACGCATTTGTAGCTTGAATTATTTGTTTTCTACAGAAAAACTAGATAATAGATAATTATATTCTAGTAGTGTAAAAAAAAGTACAAAGTTTATAAAAAATTATTATTATTATTATATTTTATTAGCCTTTTTATTTATGTGTTATAGATGATGCTTTACGCTATTCGTATCCCTGATAATGCAACGATATTAATAATTGTTAGAAAATAACCTATATAAAAGATTATCCAATTTAGGCTCCAGATTTATTTAGTTTGAGGTTTGCCATTTTAAAATATAGATCGTTCAACAACCGCTGCACATGTTAAAATTATAAAATCTTACTATCAAACAATGATTAATCTATAGTAGGTATATATTGCATGAAATATTTTTTTTAACAAAAACTGATTTTTACTTCGTGGATGTAAATTCCTGTCGAAAAACCATTGAACCGACAAAAATTGACTGTATAGTGAAGCATTTGATTTAAAGATGTGGTAGGTCCGTTTTATTTTGCATATGAGGAAGGTCACATGATTACCAATTAAAGACATGGAAGTTATATGTTTTTAACAGAACAGTGTTACAAGTTATACAACATGACCCATTTTGGCTTTGTTGCAGAAGACATTTCCTCTTAATGCATTTATATTTTTACGTTTTGCTACAAACCGAGCTACTGCCGTAACTTAATGTCAAGTTTTTGTCAATTACTTGTCGATGTCTTCGAAAATTATCTAAAAGAATTCAGTACTGTAAAAAGTTCTGTAGAAAAGATATCTAAGTCGCGTATTTTACATCAAATGGTTAAACAAAACAATATTATTGAAATAAACATTTATAATAAACTTTACTATTGGTACCAGAAATTTCGAATATATATGCCACTCTGTATATATATAAAAACCAATTAAATTTATAACTAAGTTATTATAAACTTCAAACATCATTATATAGATATCACATATGCTTATCCCATATTAAAAAAATAAAACTATATCATCGTTTTATAGTCAACTTATACACGTCTAAGTGTAAGATTACTCTTTTGCGCAGATATTACCAATCTGCTACTTTTTTTACTTTCAATTTTTGCATTAAACCAAATCTTGTTAGTGTGAATGGCATCTGATGAATGTTATTTTGCAGTTATTTAGTTAGCGAAAATCTTATTAGTGTAACAAAATTTAAATTTAATAATACCTTAAACATTATTTAAATGCGCTGTGAAATTTTTACTTTGAGCCATCTACTTACGGCAACCGTTCTATATATAGTAATACTATATACTATGGTAACGGAACCCAAATAACCAGTGATGTGAAGAGCTCTGTGTACAATAAAATAATTGTTATCAATTTCACTTGCATCCGCTTTAAGATATACATATATCGTTTAAATTATTATTTAAAAATTAAATTTAAAATGTTGATATTTTTATATATAATATAGTACGATTTCTTTTCCTTTCATTGGAATGAAAATATTTTAAGCAACATAAACACGTTTGTAGGAATAGTAGAAAACTAGTAGAATTGGTTATAATATTATTATAATGAAGTTACGAATTAGTAAAGCTAAGTAAACACTTTGGATTCTATTTTGGAAAACAACATAATTATATATATGGAACGATATGTAGAGAAATATCGGTACATTCAATTGCTTTAATAACTATAAGAGCGACGACAAAAATTGTTACAATCCATTGCTACTGGAATTTGGCAGCACCTCAAAGCTGATAACAGTATTTTTAGTTTTTACATGAATCATAAAGCCAATATTATAAACACGAACATCAGCCCGTACTAACAACAACAACATTAAAATGACTAGTGCCAACAAAATTAGACACTGAGCAAACGGTCTCTATTATTTATATATACATATTTTTTATAACTGTATTTTAAACATAGTTAAAATAATATCACTTAAATATTTATTAAATCTATCACATTATCCACAATAATATTTCTTTATTACTGACAATTTTCATTTATAAAATTAATAAAAAATTTGGATAAAATTTTATTGGAGAAAAAAAATGATCAACACCCTGAATCCAGAATTAGTCGGCTAATAAGTAAAATATGATGAATAAGCAAAATTATTCTTTGATTTTCATATTCTTTTTTCATTTGCTGATCAAATGCGAATAAAAAAAAATTTAGAAGCGATATTAAAACGTTTAGTCGATCAGGTCAAAGTCAAATTTAAAATTTTGCAACTCATTATTTACGTTAATGACAGTCAATAAGCTTGGGGCAATAATTCTGTATAGCAAATATAGAGAAACATAAAAAAATTTTGATTTTTGGCGACATTAGAGCCGTCCATTCTTATAATGGTGCGTTTATAGCAGTTATTATGACACACCATACATTAATACAAGAATATTTATACGTTTTTTATTTCATTTTTATTTTATTTATTAATGTTTTTAATAATGGTTTTTGCCTTTATGCTTTTACAAGTTTATAATGATAATTTAAGGATGTGCAATGACTTCAAAAATTACACATGGAAATTAACTTAAATAAAAAACTATTCTAGATACGATTCATATATTATTTTCAAATGTTCTAATTTTTCATTAACAACGAATTTAGATTTAATTATAATTTAAACATTGCTATAGAGTTTATTTCATAAGCCCTTTTTTATATAAAATTTTATAACATAAACAAAAACACAATTTTTTGAACTAAAATTACACAACAAAAATTAAATACTATCCAAAAAATATTTTTTAAATGTTCTACGTGGAGCTATTTTTTTATATTAAATCGATTTTTATATTGTAATAAATATTTAAAAAAACAATAAACTAATATTGGGCTTATGGAATGATAAAGAAAAGCGTTGAGGAATATTCTAAATATTATTTTCAATAATTCAACTTTTCCAATTAAAGATATAACTTTTAAGAATAACTAATTTTATTATAAAGTTTAAATTCTAAAATGTTTTAAGTGTGATAACTAATTTTTTATTTCGATTTAAGATACATTAACAAATAGTAAATGTATAACAAACAGTAAAATTGATCGAATTTGCTACTTTACGTTTTTAATTGATGAGTAATTAATAAATTGAAATTATTATGCATTTGTGAATGATTTGATTATTGTAAACTTATTTTTTTTTTAACGCTCTCTATTATTGTTGTAATGTTGACATATTATACAAAAGTCTGTTTTTAAAAAACGTTGAATTTAAAACGTAATAGGCTCATGCGGTACTGCACATTCACCAACCGTAACTCGATGCATCGCCATTTCGGATATGCAGTGGTAATGTACAAAGGCAGCTATAATAACTAATATGTGAAATAGCTGATGTGACTGGAACTTAAATAATAAAACAAATTATATCTGCTCTTGCTTGATTTTTGGTAATTATTATATTCTTACCCATATATCAAATTTTCCAGGAAACCATCTTTCCGGTACACGTAATGCATACAACATTGCTCCCAGTATATATAGTAAACCTATAAATACAGAATAAAATAGTTTATAATTTAACTAAATCAAATAATTATTGTAAATAAAAACATACCCATAAGTGTTAGCCAACCTAAGCTACTTTGTTTAATTTGGGTTTCCATTAAGCTATAATGTATTGCAGGTATTATTCCAGATAAACCAAAGCTCATGAAAACTCCAGCACGTAATGGTCGTAGTCTAGGTTCAGAAAATTTATCCCATAGAGACACAATTATGGACAAACAACCCAACACGCAAACAATTGATAAGTAAATCACTTTCGGCTGATAGTGACAATAGAAACCATAATACAACCAGGGTACAAATGATCCCATAATTAGGAAAGCAATTCCACAATAATCTAACCTAAAAGTTATATATAGAAGAAATATAGTGTTTAATGAATTTATCAATTTCATATATAATAATTTATAAATTACTTGGAAAACAGTCTTCCGATCTCAATTGAATGACAGCTGAGTGTATGAAAAGCAAATGAAAAACCCAAACATATAATTGCTCCCAAAAAAAACGTACTAAATATAACTTTTTCTTGTAGAGGTATTTCCAATGATGGACGTGTTAAGAAGTACGATGCCATAGCAATAAAAGCTACACAACCAAGCAAATGAGTCCATATATTGCCAGTTTCAGTATGTAAACGGAAAATAGATTTAAAACATGCGCTAAAAGAGGGTAATGGTGGACGATGACCACGATGCAAAAAATCGTTATCTTGTAACCATTTTGGTAGGTTCTTATAATGACATACTTTCCAGCTAGCCTCCCATACCTGTAATATATAATAAAGTAAAAAAAAATAATAATAGCAATTAATTAAATTAGTTCAAGTTATATATTACAAAATTAAGTATTTTGTATTATATAATAGTGCAAAACAAACAAAAATAATTTTACTAGGCAAGAATTTCAATTAATTAAAATAAAATTTTTGTTGTTTGTTTTTGATGCTATATAATCGTTTTATATCTAGCAGAATATAAGATGCCAATATTAATATATAATGATTTTAAGTAAACTTACCTTGCGAACGAACTCTTCTGCTTGTACTGCAGCATTATGGGTCAATGCACCCAAATCAATTTCATCAGAAAGTACACCCGCTTTCAGCACTTCTGTCATCTGAAGTGGTATAATTGCAAATTAATAAATTAATCATATTTTTTTCATATTTTTGTATAAAATTAATTTAAATTTATAATCTTCATATTACTCTTATATAATATACATTTAAGAACTTAGTGTACCCTTTTTATACAAACAATAAATATTATATATTGTATTTTATCCTACCTATTATATGTTTTCAAAAATTAAAATAGAAAAAACTTGCCTAAAAACTGTTTTAATTCTTGAATAAACTATTCTAGTATCAATCATAATTCTTAAATTTTTGTTGATAACTGTAACGTTATGCATCTTTCTATCGGATTAGAATTGATTACTATTATAACGTTGTTACGCAATATAAAATATAATTATACTTTATGGAAGATAATTTCTTGCTAAAACGCATTTGTATGGCATTTTCAAATATTTTATTTCTCTAAACCGCCAGACTTTAGTAATCAAACAATATGATTTTTACTTTAGGTTAGGCTTTCATTTTTTGTCTAGGAGTCGACACATGAAGTCTAGTGGGATACAGTAATAAGAGCGTCAAACATTTAAAGGGGATAATCATCTGACATTTATTGACTGACCATGCAGTAGTTTTGGATATTGGCAAATATACAACATTATCCACATATAATTTTTGAACTACCAGCATTAAGTATTGAGCCCTGTCAAATTTGCAATGCAACTTGACAAACTTAGCTAACGTCACACTCCAAAATCTTAATCAAGTTTCACTTGATTAATAATTAATTTTTTAATGAAAATTTTTCCGTGCACACTATTTTTAACTTATTAAATTAATCAAATATTGACATCTGACGGCTTTAAACCTTATTTGCATTAAATATTATGAACCGCTTATATAAAAACGATAAGCTTTATATAAAAATACTAACATTCTCATCATTTGACTCATCTTCTTCACTTGGTTCCATATATGTTATTTCATTTATCAAGTCCTGTATAATTATTGCAGATTCGCCATTGGATTCCAATAGAATCGAGCCTTGCGTAGTGTCTATAGTATCCATTTTACTTCATGTAATTATGTCATGTATTTAAAATGAAACTATTTTAAAATTTGAATTAATTCCGAAAACGGTGAATTTTGAACAGGAATTGAGTAATACACATTTTTATGTTGATAATATATTTTTTAATTCATTATCAACATTTGTGTGACAAATATATATTAAAGAATTATACAGGGTAAAGCGATCAATAATTTATCGTTTTATATAAATAAATAAACACTTTTAGAGTTATAAGAAATTGTAAAAGTTTAACTAGACGCTTTGGGAAATGGAAGTAACTAAAAAAAGTTATATAGGTTGGTTTTAGAAGCAGACAAAACCACATCATTTGCAAGCATTGGCGTCTATTAGAAATTAATCGTTTGCTATAAAAGCTGGGCCGTTCTATTTCTAATGATGTTAGAAAAATATTAGATAAAAACACATGTGTTCTTTATCGCTTATAAAATGAACTTTCAACATAAAACTAATAAACTAAAAAATAATCTAATATTTTTGTACTGTAAAAAAAATACGCTGTATTATTAAACAGTTGTTTTTTTATTTGCCACGACATTGTGCGCTGTTGCAAATAAGTTTTTTTTAAATTCGAAAAATATATTTTTTTTAAACTATTGCTGATAACCTATCCATACAAAGAAATACGTATGACGCGCACAATACTGAGAACAACATTTTGCTTACCTCAGCTTCAATAAGCTGTGAGTCTTCTGGGGTTGATGGCAGAGGACAACCAGCATCATCTTCCTCAACAAGTTCATCATCATATTCTAACAAATCCAAGTCGTTATTGCTGAGTGAGTCTTCTGGACACCAGCCACGACGTTTTCTTAATATCATTTTAACTTGTTCGAATATATCCTCATCTTCATCCTCGCTGCGAGTTGTGGTACCACAAGAATGAACTGGCGAGTCTATATCACTTGTGGTCGCACGTGCGTCAGCATACTCAGCCTCGGAGAGATTACGCTTAAGTAAATTTACTACTGGCTCTGTTTCCATTATATGAAAATTTGAAGCTGCTTACGATCACAGTTGTTCTAAATAATATACAAAATAACACTAGATACACAAAAAAAAAACAATCATTAAATTTAATTTGCTTATTAAAATAAGTAAAAATTTGAAATTGCACAAAAAAAAACCATAAAAAACATGTCATTACGCTTTCATTCAGAATTTTGTGCTAATTTCATACAAGCAATTAGTTGCTAACACAACAGACTGCAAGGGCCTAAAAGCGACCTTTGGACATGACTCTACTACAGGTGCGGAAATAAAAAGGCATTGAAAGAAGTGAATGAATAGAACTTGTGAGTTTTAGCGAAAACTGTTTATACCAAAATTAAAACAATTTACATAATGAAATTAAGTTTTGATGTATTAGATTTTAAATAAATTTAAAATACATTTCTAATCTCAGTATTTATTTAAGCTCTTATTCTTTTTATTACATATATAATGTACACGATTTCATTCACTGTTTCATAAAGGTCACACTCTGTGAGGTCACACATGCCAGTGGCAGAAAACTATCCATTCAATTCAAAAATAATTTATTTTATTAACTTTACTTCATTTGATATGTTTTTTTGAATGTGAAGATATAAAAGTTTTGCATCATAAATGTTGGTTCCCATACTTCATACATACTTTTTTTCTGCAACGTAATAAATTGATTATACCAACCTAGTGCAAATAGTTATTTGTAACTATTCTCTTGTTCCGTTAAATTTTCCTTTATTTTTCGCTTCAATAATTGAAGCACAAATAAATAAAAACTTTTTATTCCTTGGAACCAACTTGGCTTGAACCACTTTTACCTAATAAAAACTGACTAAGAAAAATTAATAAATTTAATGAAGAAGATATCACAACTGACATTTAATGTAGAGAAGAGGAGAAACGTCAAAACAGCTGATAAAACACTGTTGTATTTTTTCTCAAAATAGGGCGAATCAAAATAATAAAAAATATTTTTATAAAACGCAATTTATTTGCGAACATTAAAGTTTAAGTCAGAAACTAAACGATTACTAAAAATTCATGCACTGAAACGGTATAGTTAATTATAGAATATATTTCAAGTTATGTTCGCATGGCAAAAGTAAAGGAATGTTATAAAGTTTCTTTATTGCGAAATCCAATTAAAAGTATAATCTGTTATTTGACAGCTGAAATAAAGAATGACTGAAAATCATATGGAAATTGTTTTAGAAATTTATAATAGAATTATGTAGCGATGTTGTAAATAATTCTCAGATGATATATAGTTTTTGCAAAACGATATAAGGTATTTATTTGAGATTTGGTACAATGGTTTTTAAAGGCAAATTCAAAAAATAAAATGAAAAACAAAATTTAATGGATTAGTACTGGATTTCCACTAGAGCTTTGATTGTAATTTTAGCTATTAGAAATTATAAATTGACATCTAAAATCACAAAGCAAAAATATCGATTCATTCGACGTATCATTGATTGTCAGATTTATAAAATATGCACAGTTTTTAATTACTTTCACACAGTATTTACTTTGTATAAATGATATATACATATGATAACAATTTTGTTTAATTTTGTATGACAATTTCATATATTCCTCAAAACTATTCACTATAGTATAAGTTTGTAAGTTCAATATTAGGTGCTTTTAGCAGCTTTTAAATGTGGCAAAAAATAGCAATTTGATTACTATAGGCTCTAAGCAAGATATTGGCATCACTATTGCAATCTGTCAACTGTTGTTTTTGCAAAGAGCAAATCTTTACAAAAATCGAAAATGAGAAGCGAATGACTTATTCATGCATACAAAATTTCAAGCGCGAATGAGCCATTTTCGTTACATTCTGTATGAATGTGTCCCAACGACGTTCGCATGCATTCCAAATATGTTCCAAATACAAAGGAATACATTGAGCATACCATAAATAAAAGCTTTTCATGGCATTTTGACAGTTTAAAAAATAATAATATTAATGTTATTTCGATCTTCCGGACGCGCAGGTTTCTAAACGGATTTTGTAAAATTTCGAAATTTTTAGCAATTGATTTTTAGATATGCTACACATCAATATAGTTGAGTTCCTAATATATCGGATCGCCTCGTTTGTTTTTTTTTTTGTCTAATCAATGTAAAAGTCACGATATCTGAATTGCCGAATTGTTATGGCATCGGAATATATTTTTAAAATATAACTGAGTCTCTATATTTCGGATTATTTAGTTATTATATAACTTTCTGAAAATTTAAGAATAGCGCCATTTCTAATTAAAAAACTTGAGAACTTGAACCATAAGTTATACTTTGTATTAAATACAATATTAAGCCAGAATTTTATATACACATAGTAGTCTTGGTTGTAGGTTTATATGGTATTTACATTGGCTTCAAATGGCTCATTTTGGTCAAAAATCAAAAATGAGAATAAAATGATTGATTTCTGCATACAAAATCTCATATGCGCAAATTAGTTCCATTTGCTGATTTTGTACAAATGAGTTCCAACGAGGTTAGAATGTGTTCCAAATACTTTTTAAATGTGAATGAATACTTTGGGCATACCCTAAATTAAAGTTTTTCATGGCATTTTGACAGTTTGAGAAAGATGTTTTTGACATATGTATTTAGAAAAAAAGGTAAACGAATATTTAAAAATGATGCACATCTTTTTAGAACTTCTACTTCTCGAAAAGTACTTAATGGAAGTTAAAAATATGTTTTCAGTTTATATTGTAAGGTTTGAAGGTATATTTAATCTTCATGCAACATTTTTTTGGTACAGGCTAAAAATCAAATCAACAGGCAAATTGTAAAATTAGCTGTTTGAAATGAGAATAAATGAATTACAACGAATGTAAACACTTTCAAATAATTGATTTGAAATGAGTCATTTTCGACCACTGTAAATGCCATATTACTCAAAACTTTGCAATTGCACTTACTTTTTTTTAAAATATACCAATCTGTTTCAACATCTTTTGGCTTGATAGACATTAGACAAAATGGTTACTGGAAACAATTACGTAATATAAAAGATCTTTAGTTTAAAACTGCACCATTACAGAACTTTGGGACTTTCTAAAAATGTTTTTCGAGTCCTTTCTACCACGAACTGCCTTCTATAAAAATTGAACAAAAGTATCACATGCCAAAACTTAATAAAATATAGATAGCATCATTCAAATTTAAAATTGTGTAATTGAAGTTCTTATTCAGTTTAGTAACGTCATCTAAAAAACCTTAAACATTAATACATACCGATATGCAAGCAAGGGATATAATTTAAGACTACATTAGTTGACTTCATTGCTATCATAAATCACTGTTTCTTTCATATTTGAATTAGAAATAATATTGTAGATTAATAATTTCAATATTGTTCTACATAACTTCGGATTTTTTTTTACTGAAGGTACCTTTCCAATTTATTTTATGACACCCCTTGGTGTTTAGTTATAGCAAATAATCAGATGTGTATACACATAGCGATAAAATATCACTAAACCATTTATACCGAACCCAATACAATTTGTTTGTTCTGTTAATAACAGCATAATGATATATTACATTATTTTTTAAAGAAGCTAAAAGTCAAATATATTAATAGAGCTTGTGCTATACATCCATCTGAATTATTAATTAAAGTTAATGAAGATAATACTGCCGATATTCGAATTGCACATTCCCAATTTTTGAATGAGTTATATTAAATTGAAATAAAATACGAATATGTGTCATGTAGAAATGCTGCTAGTATGTTTATCTGTATTCTCTAGTTCTTCAGATCCAAATACATATCTACTATGTGCATATTGATAATTTATTAATGTTGCTTCAAAAAATATTCCATATTCCTTTAACTTTAATATTTTTCGGTGATATGTGCAAATAGTACATATTTTTTGATTAATGGAGAGACTTATATTAGTGAGTCTAAATTACATAACATAGAATAAAGAGGTTTTCGAACAGAAGTGAAACAACAACAAAAATTTATTTTTTAAATTATTTTAATTAATTGAATTTTTGGCTGACCATACAGCTGTTTCGAGTATTGCCAAATACCCTTCATCAGTGGTCTTGGAATAACATAGAATATAAATTTAAGAGGCGGGCTCCATAAGTATGCGAAAGAAGAAGAATCTACCAATGGCGTTCCAATCAACTTGGCCTATTTTCGAGAAATCAATTAAATAAGAGAACCACATACTCTCTATGTGTATATATGCTTCAAATTTAAATATCTGTCGCACATAATATATCTTTCACATTACTTTTATAGAAGTAAACACTTTTTCGTTAGTAGTGACATCTTATTATTACTATCATAAGTACAACCATTTATGAGAACAAAGGTATTCCAGATGTATCTAGAGTAGAAATGATGTAAACCATCTTGTACTATGAATTTTTATCCATATATTTTAATTTTGTTTTTAATTATAACTCAAATAAAATTAATTATATTATATTATATACATTAAATTTAATATAAACTAATAATTTATAATGTCTTAAATACATAAATTAATTATATAGAAATAAAGCATATATTTTATTCATATTCTCAATGTAAAGTTAAACATTTTGCAGTGTTATCTATGAAATTTTGTCTGAGAATGATTCAATGCTCAAATATATATTACGGTCTTTTAATTAATTTTTTCCTCCAAAAGTTTATCAAATTTTATTTAATTGTGATTTAGTTATAGGTTTAAAATTTTTAAAATGCACGTTTTTTAAATGATTAGGTTTCGACTTCATTGTTCTACATTTTTTCAAAAATTTAAGTGCTCTTCGTATAAAACCCTTGACATAGGAAGAATCATAAAATGATGGAGAGTATAAATACGAAAATCAGGTTGATGAACTTCAAAAAATGATTAATTAAAAATTATTTTATAAGCTTTATGCGGATAGTAGCATCGGTATTTTGCAGCACAAATGTAATAAACATTTCATCCGCTATTTTGTCATATGCAGAAATATCTGAAATCTGGTCAAGGAATTAAATTGTTAAAAATTTATATCTTTTATGTTTTGTAGCGTTCGTCAAGGTGAAGTTCATGGAACTAGACTGATACGTCAAAAACTAAGGAAATCGAAATGAAGTTAATTTACATAACTGAGTTGTTTGATAAAATTATTTTATATGCGACAAGATATAAAATATAATGAACTAAACATTTTTGTATCTTTTTTCATTATCTTATTTCTTTGTTATGAATGTAAAATAGTGGCGCTTTTAAAGCTAATATAACCACATTATATGCTTAAGAAAGTGATTTATGTATTCAATCATTTAATTTAAATAAAATTTATAAAGTAAAATTATTTTCCCTGCAATAATATTTGGTTTGAATTTTGTTTTTTTTTTATATTAATTATTTTATTTATTTATATTTATATTACTTATTAAATTTAGCAGATACAGTAAAAATTGAGAAGTTTTGACACTTTTTTGAACATTTAGCAAAATTATTTGATGGTATTTTTACAAAATAGAATATAATTATTTAAAACAATAGCAAAATTCAAATGGGGAATGAAACATCATGTTTTATTTTCTCACTAATAAAAATATTGCTGTAGTTAAATAATTTTTCAAGTTATGTACTTGGATAATTAGGTAATTTATGACAAACATCATATCCCAAATGAACAGTTTAACTAAATTTAATTTAGTAAATCAATTTGTAATTGATTTTTTTCAATTACAATCTCCTTTTCTTGACTTCACTCATACATGCAGCCAATGCTCAAAGTAGCTACAGCTCTACATACATCAAGAGCCAATTTCACAGCTGAGTTAATTTATACTTTATTCAGTTTTGGGACTTAAGTTACTGTGATGTTGTTTCTAAGATAAATAAAAATCGTAGATCCAGTTAACAAGACAAAACGGTCAAAAGGATAAAAAAATAGATATCAAAAACTTAAGATGTGTTAGCTGAATACCCTTAAAAGTACAATATTAAAAATTAAAAACCTCTGTATATTTTACACTAAAATGTTTTTTTTTTTACTTAAAACAATAAAAAGAAAAAGAAAATTTTTTTCAACAAAAATATAATCATAACGAAATTTTGTAGGGTTTGTTAATGGCTCTAAAAACTGGCATATGCCTTACTTCGAGTTCTCATATTCATGGTTCACAGAATAATATTACAAAATATCTGATCTAATCTAAAATTTACAAACTTTCAAAATCGTACAAAACAAAACTTGCAATTCGTGATGAGGTTTTAAATAAATTTTAACATTATCCAATTTTCATACAGCCTTTGAAGTACTACAGCAAGTGACGCAGCAGATGATGATGGTTTGATGATGATATTATGGTATGATTCATCTTACCCGGTTAATTAATTTTTATCTGTTGGTCCTAATAAAAATAAAAATAACAAGAATGTAGAAATCCTTTTCAGAGCTTCTGAATGAAGAATGAATAATTCTTTTATTGTCTGGCATTAAAGTGTGAAATGTTCGGAAGTGGTCAAATAGTAAGTCATTTATCTTTTTTTCATATTTTTTAAATATGTATACATAGGAATATATACCGTAAGCTTATCTCGATATATAGGTTGTGACGTAATAATGAATCATTCGAATAGTTTTGAAAGCTTTGTTTTGAAATCAGAAACCATTGAATATTGATTTTGATGTAAAACTGAAGATTCATCACATCAACGTTACCATACAGAATTCACTAAAATCTATTTTTTCAAATATAATTTTATTCTTCTGTGCATATTAAATTAATTTAATTTTTTAATTAAACTTCAATATTTATATTTTTATATAAATATAAATATTAATTATTTCATTAAATCAACATATTTATACAATTTATATAATTTATTAATAGCATTTTGTTCTTTTATTCACATTTATTTTTTAATTAAAATTCTATATTTTGTACTTTTACATAATTATTAATTTTAGTATATAACTAAATATTTTATTATTTCAGCATAAACATATTTTATGAAGATTATAACAGCTTTTTTATAATGTCCTTAGCTATTAGAGAAAACTTCGAAAAAAAACCTCAATGATGGCATTCAACTTTAAAAAACGTTTGCTATTAAATGTAAATATCTTGAAAATATGGATATATTAATTTTGTCAATATAATCTTTAATTTAATATTAACCTCTAAGGATATCAAGACACGAGGATCGAAGAGACAGAAGACACACAAGATACACACAAGAGTATGAGTATCTAATAATAACCTTTGAATAAAACAAGTAATATGAGAGCGTGTTAATGTCCAGATTTATTTGTTAAACGTTTAAATGTATAGTACATAAGTATTGCAAACAGGAAGATCTATTACGCTTCCCTTTCCTAGTAGGGAAAAATCTTATAAAATATTATCCAATCCAAAAATACCAGCGTATGAGGTTTGATACATTATCTTAGGTGTGGCTTGACTCTATAATGTCCAGTTAAAATCCTAGTTAATAATTTAATTTGTGCTTGGATAAATCAGTACGGAATTAAAATCTGCTGGTATTAAGTAAAGGCTCGCAAAGAATTTCTGTCACTTTTGTGTTTCTTGAATGTTCAGCACTTAATTCCATTATCCTCTACCTTTGCTGTTCTTTAATTATGTATAACCAAGCTATAAGCATGATTTCACTTCGAGTAAAATATATTGAAATATATTCAAAATAAATTTTTATTCGTGATGACTAATTTCTTGCATTACTGGGCACATATAAATGTTTCATGCTTTTAAAATGTTCAATTTTAGTATGAAAATTATGTAATTCGATTTTTTTCCGTATAATTGATGTTTGGATTTATATTTCGTCTTATTAAAATTGCTGTGCAAAATAATTTATTTCTTACATATTCTAGGATGACTATGGTGCTTGTTTCTGAATCATAACTCAGCGTTAAATATTGTGCTGGATCAGAATACTCCCATGATACGCCAAAAACTGCGTTTGAAAAAACCTTCCAGTAGTTGGAAGGTTTGTTGATTATATTCCAGTTCTCATTGCCATACAGAAATTAGAATTTAACATTACTGTTCAATTTAGTAGTTATACTTATAATATAAAATAATTATAATTATAACAAATTATATGGAAAGCAAACGACAACGTTTAACCTTCTTTACATTTATTCTAATTGCTATGTAAAATTTTTGTATGTTTAATAATATTTAGAAATCGTATAATGTTAATATACTATATTATGTTTTCTCTTGTAGCTATTATCCAAATTGAATTTTATGCTGATTATTTAGCTGTGCCGTTGTTAGGGACTCGATATGAGTCGATACAGCTGCATCAAACATGTTTTTATAATATCCAATCAATCTTGTAATATTTTTTAAAATAATTTTTACAACGATACTTATACTAATTAGGTTACAATAAATATTGTATAGAAATGAATGCAATTTTTAAAAAAAAAACGGCTAATGATTTTGTATTACAACCGAATGAAAATAATAAAAACAAATACGTATACATATTAACATTAGCTACTTAGTAAATCAATGCAATACTAATACAAAACTACGGTAACATTTTTTTTGTTAACTTCTCTGCATAATTAGTCAAAACTTGACCTTACCAAGCATTTAGTCAAAAAACTTTTCAGTAAATTTGCAAACGTCAAAGCATAATTTTGTTGTAAGCCAACATCGAACATAGCGATCATACGAATGTTCGATCAAGGGTGTTTACTAAAAGTTGTCTCGTTTTTCTGCAACGAAAGCTTTATTTCCTTGACTTCGGCTAGTTTTCAAACGACTTGTAAAAGAACGAAAATTGATCAAAGTGAAGACAAACAATTGTAAGAAGTTAAACTCACATTCGGTTGTGTGTGTGTGTGTGTTGTGTATGTGTTAAAGCGTGTGAAGTTCGCGTTTATCGTGCAAATTTTATTTATTTATACACCTGCAAAGGTAGAACACCGTACAGTATCTCTTTGTCGTCCGCATCCGACGGTTTTTTTTTGTCAGTTTAGTGTGGTGAATGTTGAGCAGTGGTGAAACAGCTTTTGCTTAATATTTCTTTAAAGAAGAACGCAAAGCAGGCGTTAAACGACGATTTCATCCTCAAACTAATTTGGACATTTTTATATCTTATAGAGAGTAAAAGGTACGGAAGTGTTTCATTTCTTTTTTATTTCTGTGCAAAGACTTAAAATTTAATGCTAAAAGAAAGTTATTTAACTGAAGAGAACTAACTGCATTTAAAAAATTTTTTGTATTCATAAGTGCCTAAAAAAATTCATTGGAAATGGGAATAGAAGTTTTAAATAAAAGTCAGACAATTTGGTTACGATTCTTTTATAAATTTTTCAGTGCATTGTGCAAACTTCTTAATATATAGACATCCAAGTGTAGTGAAATAGGTTACATTTTGAATTAAAAAGAAATAGCTGCAATAATTTTTTACATTACAAATATTAAATTAAATTACAAATATTAAATACTAAATTACAATAAATGTAAAATAATAAAACAATTAAATAATTTCTATATTCTTCTATATACTTCTTGAAGAATTAAATCTATTACAAATCGGATTTTATATCACGTATTTAAAATTTTTTCAATTGATTAAGCAATTAAATAATTTCTATATTCCTCTTTATATATTTTCGATAATTAAATCTATTAGAAATTGGATTTAATATCAAGTATTTTAAATTGATTTCAATCTAATATATTAATTTTAAATTAAATTTTTCTTTTCAAAATATTCAAAACTAAAAATATTTATTTAAAAAAGTTTTTTACTATTTATTATTTATCGATTACTATCAATTCATTAATTTCTTAAATTTATCCTATAAATAGTGGCTTCCAAAAACATATTAGAAAGTTTATAATACTCTCGATGTGACTATAGATAAATATTTTCTTATTACTAATTCAGTTATAAATTATTTTTAGGTAAAATAAAAGTTACTTTATTAAATTTTCATATATATATAGCATATATGCATTATAAAAATTGATAGTTTTTAAATTTAATTTATAATATATAATTATTTTTAATTTCTATATATTTAACAAGCATGTATTGCAAATCTAAATATTCGTTAATAGTTTCTAATTTGATTGCTAATTTTTTTTTAAACATTGAATTATTCTGGTTGACCTTAACCTACAGTAATAACTTAGTAGATTAAAATGTGAGTCTATCTAACTAAGAAAAGACTAAAGAAAGCAAAGCAAATTATTGATATCTGCTAAATTTAAATTCAATACATCAACGTTTTTTTTGAATTGAAACTTGTAATTTTTTTTATATCAATCTACAAGTAATTATAACGATTCATTTTTATATAATTTAAATAGAAAGAAATTCTTTTAAAGAATTAAAAAAATTACAACTTCAACATTGTAAATTGTAAAATGTTGCAAATAAATATAATAATAATATTTTAATAATTTCAACATTTAAAATGACTATTGAACTAAATTCATTAATAACGTTTTCAAAATAGATTTATTAGCTCATTTAATATATGATAATAATTTAAATAATTAACTGGTTATTTTAATTATAAAGTATAATGATTACAGTTAATAAAACAACAATTTATAACAATTTACAAGCAATAATAATAATAACGAAAGTTAAATTATCAACAGGTTCATGCAATAACTATTTGAAATATTTTAATAATTTTTTAAGCATATGTGTACTTATGTTTATATAACATAAATAAATATAAAATAATTATATGAATAACGAAACTCATGATAATAAAAAATTTATATAAAAAATTGTTTAAAACTGAATAATTTTAAATATGTTTTAAAATGAAAAGAATGTATTATTAGCATTTATTAAATTGCAAGTTATAATATTTAAAACAATTTTTGAAAATAAAAAAATATATAAGTAATTATATTATTAATATCAAAAATATTTATCTATTAATATGAGTGTTATAAACATAATAATATTCTTGATTTTTATTTAATTTACTTTATACAATAATTTTATATAGCAAAATCGTCGGTGGTTCAAAGTTTATTTGACTTTATAAAATGTGTAAAAAATAAATTAAACAAACTATATATTCATATATATACTATATATTTTTTTTTTTTCTCAATGTTAAAAAAATATTTTTTTTATTATTTATTCAATTTAAAAACTACAACTCATATAAAAAATAGGAGACAATAATATAAAATAAATAAAATAAAAATGATTAGATTTGCAATATAATTATAAGCTATAAATAATTAAAGTAGTATATTATTATGAATATGGCTGTTCTGCATATTACTAAATAGACATTAATACTGGTCTTTAAAAATATTCTTACAATACAAGTAGCAAAAATTTGACACTAAAACCACGTCAAATTTGAATAGCAGTTCCATGTTTTAGGCTTGACTTGTGTTTTCATTTGATGCTTTATATTGTAACAAACGCAATAGTTTAGGTTAGTTTATACCGGCAATACCTAGTGGATCCACTTAGGCCTATTAGTCCTATGTGTTACCGTATATATAGAAAAACCTCAGGGTTTAAAACCACCTAGAACCTTTAGCGAAGCCTAAAATACTTGTAAATGGTCAAGATCCTCAAGATAGGGTGCTCTTAAAGTATTAAGTCGCTGCCGTGCATGAGACGGGCAAAAACATAATAACTTTTATAATTGTTGTTATAAAATTTAAATACCATTGATTTGATGAAACATTATTTTTATACATTATATTATATATTACATTATTATATATTACATTATAATAAGAAGTTATGGTGATGTTTCAATTCTACCATTTGTTATAAAAGGCTCTTTTTTATTTAAGAATAAAAACTTTTTGTCATATTTTCACTTAAAATAAATTATAATTACGTATTATTTCAATTTATTTTAAAAATGCACTTAAATTAATTTAGTCAGTATAATTAATAAAAATTTGTTTATATGTATTTCAAAATAAATAAAATACTATTACTATATACAATAAGTATATGCTTATTCTAAAAGTTTTCAAATTAATTCTTGAATTTTTTCTCATTTTTATTAAAGAATTAATTAAATAAATTAATTCTATGTAAATGTTTGCAAATACGATTTGCTTAGTTTTTACTTCAGCATAGTATTTATTTTTTATTATTTATACTAACATTGCTCATATATATGCTCATGAATATATAATTGTGCATAAATATTTTTTTTTATTTTTAGATTATATAGAATGTTATGTAGTCTATTAAGGTTTTAGAGTACATGACTTTAAATTAACTTTTACTTACGCAAGTGTTTAGCAGTTGTTGTCAACTAAAACCTTTTATGTATATAACAAACATTGAAAATTAAAACAATTTGTGATATATTCTTATATATATATTCGTTAAAAAACAATAATAAAAACATTATTAAATACGAAACTAGGAATTTTATACTAGTTACATTCAGAAAAAAATTAAAAGTCTACTATATGTTATATCTATATTGGAAATATTTTTGCACTGATAAAAACTTTAAAGTTTTTGTATGCTACAAACATTGAAAATGGAAACAATTGTTGAAACAATTTATCATTTATTCGATAACTTCATTACTTATACATATATTCGTTGAAAAACAATAATAACAATATAAATAATATTATTTCGTAAGAAACAAGGAATTTTTTAATAGTTAAATTCAGAAAAAAATTAAAAATGTACTATATATCTATATTGAAAACGTGCATGTGCTATAAAAAATATTGAGTGTTCTTCTATAAGCATTGCTGCAAATCCATTAATCTATTATTTATTTATATATAACTGGGATTCTCAAGAAATCTATGCATTTACTGGCCGAATACTTTCTCAATTAGTTAATTGAATCCTATTAATCCCATTAGAATTTCATTTCCCATTAATTAAGAATCTGCGAATTATATTTTTAGCACTTATGTGAATTCGAAATAAAGTAAATTCTGATTATAGTTATATAGTTATAATTACAAAAAAATTAGCTTCAGTTACGAGTAATCATGCTCAATCGACGATTTTTAATTTCTGTGGGAATTTTTTTATATGTGAGCATTTACTTAAAAATAAAAACGTGAACAAAGTAAACAAAGCGAAGCGCAACAATAAAATCTTTGTAAGTTTCACACTAAAATGAAACATCGACATCGTTTCAAGCATAATTAGCGGATATTTACAGAACAAATATTTACCCAGTAATTAAAGAGAAATATATTCAGCTAAAAAAGTAAAAAAAATATATCTATATTCATGTATATTCATACAGATTCAGATAAATATATTAATAAAAAAAAAAGTATAAGTAACAGTTTGTATTAAGACGTCACAAAACTATATTTGAAATATAATAACAAATATGAAAGAAAAAAATATGTATATAAAAATAAATAAAATTGAAAACATTCACCAGGCCACTGACCAATAATTAAATATATCTGTACGAGGATGGAATAAAACAAATTATTTTAAAAAATAAAATAAATAAAAATAATAATAGAAATCTGTTAATGTCCACTTAAGAGCTTTTGTAGTCGTATTAAGAGCTTATTTGTAGTTCACTCTTATGGTTTGTGGCATAACTGTTACTACTGTAGATACATTTTTTGGTTAACTTTGCTTCCGTCGTCACATATTTTATGTTAACATTTTTTGTAGTTCGTCGAAAAGAAAAAAATTTGAGTATTACGTCCCTGAACCTAAAAAATCAATGCAAATGATGTAATTTTGTTTAATTTTTTTTTTTTTTGGCTACTCAAAAAATTTACTACCAACAAAGTTTAATACATTTTCAATGTGTGTTGGTGTTAATTGTTGACATTAACGAGCCCGAGTATTATTAATCGATCGGTAATTACTTAAAAACACATTTTAAATACACAACTGCAGTGTTAAGTGCACACAAAGTTAAGTCATTACATTTACAAAGTTTTCTACCTTTAATTCTAACAATAATTTGTTTTCATTCCCGATAATCTCACGTTGCTTATACGTCACAGTGGCCCTTAGAAGAGCAAAACAACGCATTTTAAATAAAAAAAAGTGTTGAAAAAAAATCAATTGTTTATTAGTTTTCACACTTAAGTGTTGCAAAATGAACTTTTTGGAAAAACAGAAACTTTGTTCACATTGCACTTGTGATC